GTGTTGTGTGTGTTGTGTGTTGTGTGTGTGTGTGTTGTGTGTTATGTGTGTGTGTTGTGTGTGTGTGTGCCCCCTCCCGCCATGGTGCTGACGGCCCTGTGTGTTGTGTGTGTTGTGTGTTGTGTGTTGTGTGTGTGTGTGTGTGTTGTGTGTGTGTGTGTTGTGTGTTGTGTTGTGTGTGTTGTGTGTTGTGTGTGTGTGTGTGTTGTGTGTGTGTGCCCCCCTCCCGCCATGGTGCTGACGGCCGTGTGTGTTGTGTGTGTGTGTTGTGTGTTGTGTTGTGTGTTGTGTGTTGTGTTGTGTGTGTTGTGTGTTGTGTGTGTGTTGTGTGTTGTGTGTTGTGTGTGTGTGTGTGCCCCCCTCCCGCCATGGTGCTGACGGCCCTGTGTGTTGTGTGTTGTGTGTTGTGTTGTGTGTGTTGTGTGTGTGTGTGTTGTGTGTGTGTGTGCCCCCCTCCCGCCATGGTGCTGACGGCCCTGTGTGTTGTGTGTTGTGTATGTGTATGTGTGTTGTGTGTTGTGTTGTGTGTTGTGTGTGTTGTGTTGTGTTGTGTGTGTTGTGTGTGTTGTGTGTTGTGTGTGTGTGTGTTGTGTGTTGTGTGTGTTGTGTGTGTGTGTGTGCCCCCCTCCCGCCATGGTGCTGACGGCCGTGTGTGTTGTGTGTGTGTGTTGTGTGTTGTGTTGTGTGTTGTGTTGTGTGTTGTGTGTGTGTGTTGTGTGTTGTGTGTGTGTGTGTTGTGTGTGTGTGTGCCCCCCCCCCCGCCATGGTGCTGACGGCCCTGTGTGTTGTGTTTACAGTCACCTCAGTGGCTCTCGCCAACGCCGACTGAGGTAACCCTACTGGTGCCTGCGGCCCGTGATCTCCGGTCCTGCTGTCCGTCTGCACCCGCGTGGCTATAACGACAGCCAGCCTGGGACGGAAGGGCTCCCGGCCTTGGCCGCGAGGAGGGCGTGTGCCCAGCGCTGGCTGTGTTTATACCGTCACCCGCATGCTCCTGTGTGTCTGCCTGCCCCTCTGCGGGTGCCCAGCTAGGGGTCGCCAAGCAGACTGTGGCCCGGGTCCTGGCCTCCCTGGGTTGGCTGAGGTTTGCCTCGCGCCCTCAGAAGACTGTGGGCTACACCAGGCCTCAGAGGAGCTCCCCGAAAGAGACTCAGTCAAAAACCTTTCTTACTCGCAACCCAGGGCCTTTCCTGGCTCCTCAGAATTAGAGATCTTAGTTCCTGACCAGCTCTATCTACATCAGGGAGCCAGGCAGACTCGGTGAAGGCCACCACACACATGCTGGCATATCCCACCACGTCATGCGCACGAGGCCACGCCCCAGCACACCCCGTGATGTCACACCCCATCTCGTCACCCCAGTGATGCCACACCACATGCCACTCCCTGTGATGTCATAGCCCAGGACACCATACCCCATGACGTCACGCTCTAAGGCATCCTACCCCCTGTCAGCCAGGGGCAGAGAAGCGTGCTACCGCACACCCCTGAGTGCCCACTCAGAGCTCAAAACTGCCACCAACACCCTATATTTAGGGGTTCATTTACCCCACAATTACGCCAGAGGTAGCTTCTGTAATATCCAGTGTGTCAGTGGAGGATGCGGCCCGGGGCAGGCAAAGCGCGTTCCCAGCTATAGAAAGAGACGGAGGGCTCAGGACCCCCACACACACTGTTGGTTCAGCGCTGTTCCCACCCCGGGGCTCCCGGCCCCTCCCTCCAGAACGCCCGTCCCTGGCAGGGCGGGTGCTCCTATCCCCGCGGGGGAGGGTGGCTGATGGCCCAGGAGGCCGGGGCTCTTCAGCACTTCTGCCTAGGAGGCCTGCAGGCATGGTGCCGGGGCTCGGGTGGGGGACGCAGCCTCTGCAGAGCCGCACTCACGGTGAGGGCTCTTCTCTGTGCAGCCCCATGCTTCCAGGAGAACCGCCAGGGCCTCCCCTGTCCGGTGGCTTCTCAGTCAGAGCCCTCACCTGCTTCCTCCACCGCCGCGGGGCGCTCGGGCAGACCCGCACGTCCTGCTGTTGCTGCTGTGTGGGAAGGCCCTGCCCTGCATTGCCACCAGCTGTCCCTGGCGTCACACCCTGAGACCCACGTGGACACGCTCAGTCTGCAAGTGGCAGGGCCAGGAGACGGGACACGGAGGCCTGTGCTGACCGGCAGGCCCTGCAGAGAACGCCCCCCCCCAGGGGCTCTCGGTGGTCCAGGAGAAAGCCTCCAAGCTGGGTGGGGCCCCCCAGGGTGCTTGGAGTAGTGCAGCTGGAGGCCCAAAGTAAACACACAGAAAAGGCTGTGGGGCGGGCAGTCCTGAGGGTCAGAGGTCAGCCCAGACAGACCAGGGCCGCCACGATGCCGGGCCAGGCCCCGCCTGCTCATCCAGCAGTGCCAGCAAGGGCAGAGCTGGGCTGCCGGCCCTCAGCAGGAGGCTGGGCAGGCCCCTGGCCACCCCGCAGAGAGCTGCTCCCGGCGCCGCGGCGCCCTGCCAGCTCATGCCTCCATGGCCTGCTCTGGGTGGGGGCTGCGTTGTGGGTGCTTCTGGCTCTCATCGGCTGGGCTTTGGGGGGAGCCCCGGGGTGCCTGTGTCCCTCCAAGGGTGCCTGAGCATGTGGAGATGCCAGCTCACATGTGTGGGGGCCCCAGGGACACTGAGGGACATTTCAGTAGTTCTGGAGCTGTTCCCTGTAGCCTTGGGTGCCAGAGAGTCAGGCAGGAGGAACCGGGGTCCCACCTCAGGGGGTCATGTGACGAGCACAGGACCAGCACTGTGGCCCGCCCTGCCTGGTCCTCCCGAGGCACCTGACGGAGGCCTGGCTCCATCGTGGGGTCGCAGGCCTCGATCGCGGGACCCGGGGCGTCGGGAGGGCTCCTCACTCACAGCCGTGTTTTCCCCCACAGGGGGACCAGGATGACCGGTCCTACAAGCAGTGCCGGACCTCCAGCCCCAGCTCCGCCGGCTCTGTCAGCCTCGGGCGCTACACCCCAACCTCACGGTCACCCCAACACTACAGCCGTCCAGGTACTCAGTCCCCAGCCCCGGTAACCCCCGGTGACACTGTACATCTCGTTCCTGCTGACGTCGAAGGACTTCATCACGGGGCCTAGAAACACAAGGGCCGGGTGTGTGACGGGGAGCCGGGTCACTCCAGTGACGGACAGGGAAAGATGGCCCCGTGGCGGGGTGAGAGGCAGCAGGCTCCCTGTGGGTTAAGGAACCATAGTGTGCATCCAGGTAGAGCAAACTCAGGTGTCAGGAAATGGGAGACGGCGGGCAGAACGGAACCAGCCCCAGGCTGTGTGTCTGTGCAAGGCCCAGCCCTGCCAGCAGGGGGCAGCAGCGGTCTGCTCACAGGTCAGTTAGCTGTTCCGGCAATCACCCAGGAGATGGCCGTCCTCACGGGAAAGTTGGTGAGCTGCCCAGGCCCAGGCCCAGGCGAGAGCCCTGCAGGGTCCTCTCTGCCCCGTGTCTCCTCACCCTGCCTGCACCCAGCTGTGCTGTGCATTGCTTTCTCCACTTTGAAGCCCTCAGCCCCCTGAGGGTGTCAAAGCCACAGCAACAATGCACACGGACGGACGCTGCCCTCCGAGGGATTTTTCCAAACTGCTTCCTCCCTGGCCGGCCGTGCATGAGCCCTGTTCACACCTGACCCCCTGTTCACACCCCACGGGCCGCGGCTCTCACCCTCGCACACTTTGTGGAAAAATCGAAACATTTCATTTGCAAAGTCATGTTTCTTGCCCCCTTGCCCTGTGGCTGAGGAAGAAAGTGGGTGTGAGCGGGAGCGCGTGCGTGAGGGAAGAAGGGAGGGGGGAGGGTGTCCTGCGTGAAGGAGCGGCGGAGCAGGTGGCGAGTGGCTGATGGCAGGCAGGCGGGGCCTCCGTGGGTAGGCGTAATGGTGACCTGTCTGGCACCCGCTTGGCCGGGGACCCATCAGCGAGACCTGTGCTGATGGTAGTGGCAGCTGCCTGCCACGGTGCCCCCAACGGGACAGGCTGGGCTCTGCACCCCTTGTGCCGGCCCTGGAGCGGAGCTGGGCTCGGCCGCGCGGTGCCCGGCCTTGGCCCAGAGGGGAGTGCCTTCCCGGAGAGGACGCACAGATGTCCCTAGCCCGGGGCACGAGGACTGTTTGGCGGCATTGGGGTCGGGAGCCCGGGTCACTGACTGCCCTCTGTCGCCCGCAGCTGGTACTGGCAGCGTTGGTACCAGTAGCTGCCTGTCCTTGTCCCAGCACCCGAGCCCTACCTCCGCGTTCAGACATCATTACATCCCTTACTTCCGAGGTAAGGCGCGGTGCTGGGCGCCGTCTGTGTTCCCGCATGGCTTCGGGCCGTCTCCCACCTGTGCCGCGCTGTGTGTCTTGTGCGGTGGCTGCGTCTTGTCCGTGTGTCTGTGTTCCAGGAAGGACAGGGCCGTGGGCCTGGCCTGGGCAGGGCCACGCATCCCTGGTAGAAGCCGGTTTGAGGGCCGGGCGCAGAGCGGACTGTGACGCCAGAGCCTTCGAGACGCGGTGGCAGGCCGGGACTCACAGCCCGCGTGCTCCAGCCCTGAGCCAGCCCAGCACGGGCCGCCACTGTCCCTGTCCCCGGTTCCTTGTGGACACGTGTTCATGACCCCGCCCTTGTGTCTCTGTGCTGGTTGTGTCTCCCATCCCAGCCTCTCATCGTGAAGCCTCCGTCCCCCATGACCACCTGGGAGCCTGTAGGGAGATGGTCAAGGTTCAGTGAGGTCACGGGGGGCGGGGGGGGGCTGGCCACCAAGGCTGACAGACTTGTAAGGAAGAGGCCCTGAAGCGGGGTGCTGGTGCTCATGCCTGTAATCCTACTACTCAGTGTAAGATTTAACCGAAAAGAAACCACCATGTGATTCAGACAGCAAAGGGTTTACTGAAAAGAGTGGGTTGTTTTTTGGGGGGGAGATCATGAGATGGAGGGGTATGGAGAAGGGAGGGGAAGGGAAGGGATGACTCTGGCAGGATTGGGGTTAAGGAAGGGAGAGGTGGGATGCAGACATGACCTCAGAGTCTGGGAGCCTCCCAGGGGCCGCAGGAGGTGTGGGGTGGTCCCAGACGTGACCTCAGAAAAAGGGTGTGCCAGTTACCTGGGTTTGGGAGGCCAGGTGGGGGCTCTAGGGAAGGGGCCGCACGTGTACCCAGGAAGAAGAAAGGGGAAAGAGCCGTTTTTCATGGCAGGCCTAACATTTAGGAGACGGAGACCTGAGGTCATTGTTCACCGCCAATCTGGGCAGTGACTTTTCATTGGTGAACAAAAGGCAAAAGTGGTGCTGTGGCTCAGGTGGTAGAGTGCCAGCCTTGAGGACAAAAGCTCAGTGACAGGAGCTGGGAAGGCGGCTGAGGGGCAGAGCGCTCGCCTAGCACGCATGCAGTCCTGGGTTCCATTCCTCAGTACCACACTCACAGAAAAGGCTGGAAGTGGCTCTGTGGCTCAAGTGGTAGAGTGCTAGCCTTGAGTCCATAGAGGCTCAGGGACAGAGGCCAGGCCCTGAGTTCAAGCTCTAGGACTGGCAAAAAAAAAAAAAAAAGCTCTACAACAGTGCCCAGGCCCTAAGTTCAAGCCCCAGGATTGGCACGAAGAGGAGGAGGAGGAAGAAGAAGAGGAGGAGGAGGAGGAGGTGGTGGTGGCAGCAGCCTTGGGTGTTTTCGCTCTCGGCACAGTACGGAGAGGCCGCATGAGGACGGGGGGGAGGCCTCTGACACGCGGCGCTCCGCCAGGCACCTCTGCCGTGGGGGGAAGCCGACGCCATGTTGAGTGCAGACATGGGCTCCAGAGGGCCCAGCACTGAGGCCCCCTGCCAGTCCCCAGTGTTGCAGCTGTGCCTCAGGAAGGTTCTGGAAGTCTGGTCCCAGAGGGAGTAACGGTGGGGCAGTTGCAGCTGAGCCCAGCCCAGGGTGAGTCCCGCCGTCCGCGCCCGTCCGCACCGGTGTCTGCCCGGCCCGGTGCCTGTGGGGGTCTGCAGGAGTCGCTCCCATGCCCCAAGAGAACCCGTGTGCTCGGGAGTCAGGCGGTCCCCGCGGGGAGACGCCGCTCCGCCCTGCCACGGGCTTCCCGCAGGGAACAGAGCCCCGGACAGAAGTCTCTGACCCTGCAGCGGCCCTCCAAAGGACATGGATCGCAGGGCGGGAGGCAGAGGGCCTCCGATGTTGGAGCCTCCAGTTGAGGCCTCCCTTCCCCACTCCAGGCGTGACGGTGATACCTCCCAGCCACGCGTGTCACCTCCCTTAGTCTAAAATGGGGCGTTAACCCCCGGCCCTCGGGCGCGTGGGGGGCTGTGGTCACTGGTCACGTGCCTGTGTCCGGTGATGGTCCTCAAGGGGCCCGCGCTGCCCGCTGGGCCAGCAGGAGGCAGCGGAGGCCCACCGAGGAGAAGGCCACGGTACTGGAGGCCGCGTGGGCGTCCCGCCTGTGTGGCGCTGATGGTTTCGAGTCCACTCTGGTGCACATAAAGGGCTGGGCCAGTAACCGAGACGCACCCCACGCGGAGCTCTGATGCCACGTGGAGAGGCTGGGCTCGGGGAGCAGACGTGGCCCAGCACGGCCCGCGGTCCCCTCCCACGGGGCCAGTGCGGGAAGGACGGGGTGGCGGCCGGGGCATGCGCGCGTCCACCGGCCCCACAGGTCCTGCGGACGGACGGCGCCCTGTGAGGGCAGTAGCCAGGCCAGCTGTCCCCCGGGGACGGCGCCCTGTGAGGGCAGTAGCCAGGCCAGCTGTCCCCGGGGCCCCGTGGCTTCCGGGAGGCAGGCTCCCGGGCTGAGGGGGCACCAGTGGGGGCTGGGGAGCCTTCCGCCCCCTCTGGCAGGGACTGTCTGGTCCGTGGACACGATGGCAGAGCTGTGCTGTGCTGGACGGTCCGATGAGAACTCAGCAGAGGGTCCTGGGTGCCACCGTGGGTGGGAAGCTAGTGATGGCACCTGGGAGGCGCCGGTGGCGTGCACCAAGTCAGAGGGCCCCCCCCCCTGCGAGTGGCACCTGTGTTCCAAGCTCTGAGGAAGTGCTTTCAAAGGGCCAGCTGTTGGAGGGACTCGGGGCCCCTCTGTGCCCTGGAGCATCTCGTGGTCACAGACAACCGTGGCTCCCAGGACCGAACCATCTCTCCTTGTCTGCCTGGTGGAACCTCAGGTCCTGCAGGGAAAGTTCTCCCAGGAGTGGAGACATCCACGGAGCAATCTGTGACAGCCTCTCTCTGCCTAGAGCTCCGGGCCCAGTGTCCTTCCCACCTCCTTCAGCCACGGCTGGCCCGGACACGGCGTGAGCGCCGGGCGTGATGATAGCCCGTGAGCTCTGCGTGGCAGTGATACTTCTAAGGCTGCCGTGCACGGCGTGGCATCCAGCAGCCACGGGCAAGACAAAGACACGGATCCCGGGAAACTGCCGTGGGAAAGGCCTGGTGACTCACCCCGCCTCCTCCTCCCCCAGGGAGAGCCCGCGGCTGTCCTGCGAGTCCTTGGGAACTCCGCAAGGTGAAAGCCAGCCAGGCGCGCAGAGGCCTCTGCAGCGCTGAGCCACGGGCACGCCCAGCCCTCCTCACCCGCCACCACGGGCCTCTCGCAGACAAGCCCACGGCTCCCGGGCCTCGCTGAAGTGGAGGTTCTTCTTTTCACACTGGAACTGATTATTCCCAAGCCTTTCCACCAACCTCGAGCCATCCCCAGCCTACAATGGCCAGCCCCACCACGGTGCGCCTACAGCGCAGAGAGCAGGAAGGACTGAGTGACAACCTCTCCCCAGAGCCCCTGGATATGTCCATCCTCCGGGGACCTCGCTAGCTTGAGGGGCAGACTTACACAAGTGTCTTGGAAGGTGGTACACTCTCTTCAGAGCCCGAGGGGACTCAAGACCCCCAGCTCAGCGTCTACGGAAGATTCAGAATCACCAGGGCACTTGGCAGCCGAGGATGGCTTGGAAGCAACAGAAGAACTGATTCCAGGATGCTGTGGTAATAAAGGGATGAGACCAGCCAGAGCTGAATTTGACCTTAAAGCTCAGACGTGGGGTGGGGAGGCTTCCCTGCGGGGCGGGGTGGGAGGAGGGTGACAGTTAAAAGCAGATCCATCTGAACCGGGGCTACTTCCTCCGGCTGAAAAGGCTCAGCCCGAAAGGTTGACGTCCGTGCAGATGCTGGACTATGACGACGCCAGTGCAGGTTAACTTAATGGAAAGGTGAGAGGATCACGCTGCTTCCGCGGTGGACAGGTCCCAGATGGAGGGAGGACGCGGGAGCCGAGCGCCGGCCAAGGCGTCTTCCCCACTACCGCTGTGAATGTGCTCAAGCAACCGCAGGCAGAAAACTGTGAGCCCATCGAGCCTCACAGCAAAGTCACCCCAGACAGGAGTCAGACCTCACCAGTCATCCAGCTAGCAAGCAGCTGTCAGCAGCTGCGCGTGCGCACGGTGATGCGCTGGAACGCGGGGATGGAGGAGCTGCGGCTGTGGAGGCAGAACGTGACCCCGCACGGCTCCTGGGTGCTTCAGGAAGAGCAAGGCCGTGGCGCTTCCCCAGGAAATGCGTCAAACCTGGAAATCTGTGGGAAGACTGACCAGCACAGAGATGATTTGTGTGGGGGAGGAAGCACAGAACACGAGCTGGTCTTTAGGTGCATGTGGAGTCGGTGGGAAATGAACGCAGTGGATAAAGAAGTGAAAAAACAAAAGTCAGAGAAAGGCCCTCCAGCACTCGGGCGCGGCCTCCTCCCGGGCTGGAGGCCGCTGGGGCCTCTGCCGTGGATGGCAGAAGCTTTCAGCCAAGCCGCTTCCAGGAGGGCGGAGGCCAGCGGGCAGCTCGGAGAAGGGCCTGGCGGGCGGGCAGGAGAGGCGCGGGACCAGGTGGCAGAGGGGCCGGTGTGCCGTGGGCCCTCCTGAGATGGTCCTGTCTGTGTGGAAATGCTGCTTGTCATCTTGGGGGTCACTGCTTGCTGTAGGGGCGCAGGAGTGTCACTATCCTAGGCCACCTGGTGGGGCTGCAATGAGGGCCCTAGCTCTGGGTAGAAGGGACAGCCTGCTGCGTCCTGCGGTCAGCCGTTCTGCAGCGGGCCAGCCCTGCCCCCTAGCAGCCCGCCATGAGCCCCTTCGGCCCCTTGCGGAGTCTGTGCAGAGGCGTTTTCAAGGCCCCTGCTTCTGTTGTGCTTTGCTCCCCTTGGGGACCGGCCTTCCCTGGCCATGATGGGCAGAAAGGCTGCGTCTCCCTGGGTGAGGCCTCCCCACTGCCACCAGGGGGCGCCGGAGTAAAGCTGGAAGCTTCAGGGCTTCACCGGGGCTGTGTTCCTCCAAGTTCCACCTGCGTGACCAGGCGCGTCAGCAAGAAAAGATGCTCAAAGTCAGAGTGGCATGGGCAGCCTCGGCTCGGCGTGGGTGCTGGTTGGGGTCTGCCGGCACCTCTGCCTGGGTGCGCTTCAACTGCAGCAGCTCCCCGCATGGGCGGTGCCTGCCTGGGGTGCCATCCATCACCAGTCCACTCTGAGCCAGGCCGGTCCCATCATGAGAGGCAGCCCGCGGCCCGGTAACAGGCTCTCCAGGCCAGGGCACCCTCCCCTGCAGCCCTCCTGTGATGTCCGGCAGGCTGGGGCTGGCGGGAGAGGTGAGGTCACCTTGGGGTGTCTTGCCATCAGCCGCATTCCTCATCGAGCTCCTGGTGTCTGACACATTCCGTCCATCCCGTATTCTTGAATAGGTGGAGGGCAGGGTCAGCCACCCAGCGCCCGCCATGGCTAACCAGGGTCCTGATAATCCAGCCTCCTTCCCAGAGCGGAAGGCACAGCTCCAGAGGGGAGATGGGGCTAGGGTCGGAGGGCATTTCCCACGTCAGTGGCGGGTGACTGACAGCTTTCTCGTGGGCTGCTCCAAGACTTTGAAGAGGTGCCTTCAACCCAGTCTAGCCTCCAGGCCTATTCTCAGGGTTATTGTGTGGATTCTCAACACTGCACCTTCACACACAAAGGCAGTGGGTACGTGGGCCTCGTATAGACACAGGACAGTGGAAAGGCAGACCCAGTGTGAATATGCACTATACCTGGCACAGGAGCAGCTGGGCACGCACCCCAGGACACTGGGCTCGGCCGGCCCCTCCTGGGCAGTGGGCCCCACCCAGCGGGCCCTGGCACGCTTTGTCTAGACCTCGCTCCTGCTCTGGGCCACGGCGCCGGCTCCCTTGCAGGGTTGCATTAACAAGTCGCAGGGCATAGTTGGAGAGGTGGCCTGGGTTCACGGGCCCCGCCGCGGGAGGGGCTGGGACCACGGGGCTGCGGACCAGCCTCTTGGCCTGAACTTCTCTGTCCTGCTCTTCCCTCCCCGCGTGTGCCGTCTGCCCTCCCCACTGGAGGCAGCGAAAGTGGCCGCAGCACGCCCAGCCTCTCGGTGCTCTCCGACAGCAGGCCGCCCTCCTCCACCTACCAGCAGGCTCCTCGCCACTTCCACGTCCCAGGTAGGCCGGGCTCCTGCACCTGCCACCCTGTCACGTGACCCCACACGCTGAGCTGCTTAAACTCATCCAATGATGGTGTGTGTTTGAGGTTCTCCAGAAGCCCCCCTAAAACGGGGGGGAGCTGGGCGGCAGGGGCACCATCCAAGCTGCCGCACCCCAGTGCCCCCGGGGCTCTCCCTGGTCTCCTTCCCCGGCCTCCTCTTCTCCCTGCCCTGCAGTCGGGGGTGGCATCTGGGGTGGGGTGCCTGACGGGCCTGGGGCTTCTACGTCCGTTGCCTCCCGCTGCCCACGTCTCTCTGCTGACTGTGGAACTGGCTGACCCTCGGGGGCGAGCGACGCGTGGGTGAAGGAAGACCCCTCCTGTGCCTCACCTTCTTCTCCTTCTCCACAGACACTGGCGTAAAAGATAACATCTACAGGAGGCCCCCAATCTACAAGCAGCACGGTACAGTCGGCGCCGCTGCTCCGTTGAACCCGCATGCCGCGCTGCCCGCTTGCTTCTGCATGTGCCCTGTGCTGTGTGCAGGTCCTGGGCGCTGCTGCGGTGTGAGCTTCTGTGCATGCTCACTGCGAGGCGCTGTGTGTGTGTGTGTGTGTGTGTGTGTGTGTGTGTGTGTGTGTGTGTGTGTGATGACCTGAAGCTGAGCCCAGGCAGGTGGGGCTGGGCTGGGGTCCGGTTTGGATGGCTTCCATGATGCTGCTGTGGGGGGAATTGTCCAATGGACCCCACCTGAGCTGCTGGGTGACAGGGAGTCTCTGTCTACACCCCTGGGAAACAGAATGCTCTCAGGCACTTACTCCTTAGTGAGAACCTAGGCCCTGTGGCTTGAGGGTGTCTGTGGATAAACTGAACTGCCCTGCCCCAGGTTCACAGGGTTTCCTGCTGGCCATGAGGGCGTGGCCTGGATGTGGGGGTGTGGCTTGGTTAGGGTGAGGGCCTGGATGGGGGCGTGGCCTGGATGTGGGGGTGTGGCATGTTAGGGTGAAGGCGTGGCCTGGGTGATGGGGGCGCGGCTTGGCCCTTTGATACCCTCCCCCACCTAGTGGCCACATGAGCCTACCTGGGATGGTGTGTGTCTGGGCCTCATGGCTGGGGGCATGGAGCGGGAATATGAAGGAACCAGAAGGGAATCTCGGGTGATGGGGGTCCTGAGCCTGTTTCCTCATCCACAGAGCCCTGCTTTCCCTGGTGAGATGATGGGTTGGAGGCAGGTTTAAACTGGAAACGGCAGGCACCAGAGGCTGGACAGGTTCTTTGGGCTTCAGCCGCTTCCTGGGTCTGGCTGCCAATCAGTGCTCTAGTTACAACACTTGATTTTTTTTTTTATTTCCTCCACAATGGCCACAGGCCTTGTGCTTTGCACATTGCTTTCTCTAACCCAAAAGCAAAGAATTCAGCTCTGGTGTTCTAGAGCATAAGAACTCTCTGGCAGGGGGGCAGAGAGCATTGTCTCTGTGAGGGAGGGGAGGGCAGGAATTCAGTCCCTCAGCTCCCTTAGCAGGCCTTTGTCGGACCACATGCAGGCCTGCCTGTGGGGAGGTATCCAGCAAGCGCTCGTCCATGCGTGTCCTGAGCAGCACCTGTGCGCTGACTTTGCTCTGGCTACGCTGTCTAGAAAGCTCCCGTACCCCTATGGGCCTCCATTCTCTGGGGGGTGGGGTTGTGTCTGAGGCTCTCTGCACCCCCCCCCCCATGCTCAGGACAGCACAGGTCCCTGCTGCGCACTTGGTGAAGGGAGGGAGACAGGCTGCAGGGCTAAGCACAAAACGCATGGTCCAGGGGGAGGGATAGGTGGAGAGCACACTGCGGGGATGGGTGGGTGATTCTGGGCGGAGGACTGCACTGAAGGGCAGAGAGAGGCATGGTGGATGGGTGGTCGAGTGAGCAGGCGGGTAGCTGGTGAGTAGATGTGGGGAGGGATGGATAAAAAGAGATGGATGAAGGGAGGGAAGGATAAGATGGATGGCTAAGGCTGGCTGGATGGATGGCTAAGAGGAGGAGAAAGGGATGAAGGAAGGGAGGATAGATGAATGGATGCAGGGAAGAGCGGGCAGCTGGATGTATGAATGAGAGGGTGGATGGGTGGATGGGATGGTAAAGAGGGAAGGGACCACGGACGGGAAGCATGTGTGTGGGTAGATGGATGGTAGGTGGATGGTAGACCGGTAAGAAGATAGAAGGTTGAAAGAATAAGTGAGTAGATAGAAAGGAGTAAATGTCTCGGTAAATGGACATATATAGATACATATGTGCATCACGTGTGCTCACGTATGGAGACATGAGACAGAGCGGGGAAGGAGGGAGAGCTGGCCCGTCCTCCTCCAAAGGGAAGCTAAAGAGGCCCTTCCCTTGGGATGCCTTGACAAGGGGGCAGGAAGCAGTAAGTGGTCCTTTCCCCAGAAAGTCCCTTGGGACAAAAGTGGGGGGGGGAGGGTGGACGGCCTCATGACACACAAGAAACACTCTTCCTCCGATCGTCCCAATGGGATTTCCAAAATTTCCTGAGAGCTCAGCTAGCGGCCGAGGCCCCCCACTCATCCCTCCCTCGCTCTTTGAATCTGTGAGCTGGCCGCCCCACGACTCCGGGCTTTGCTGGGATTTGCCATCTCACTTGATTTCTACAACTGGGAGAGGGGCCATGGGCCCATTTCGCAGATCAGGAAACTGAGGCTCAGAGGTGTTAAGGAAGCGATCCTGCAAGAATGCGCGGTGCCAATTTCTTGCCTAAGCATCTGTAATTCTCAGGAGAATCCGTGACGCCCCTGCCCTCTGGTGATCTGGGCTCCGGCAGCCTGGCTGACTGCACCCCCCGCCCCCCGGTGTGGGCAGCAGCGTGAGCAGAGGGACAGGCAGAACGCCAGTCCTGGGGAGGTCCCCGCAGTGTGGGTCAGCCTGTCCACCGTGGGCAGCCAGCCCCTGGCAGCCACGGCTGATGCTCCGCCTGAAGCCCAGCCCCATGTCGCACGGAGCTGTTCTGGCATTGGCCGCCATTTTCCAGCCTCCTGGCTTTCCAGAAATGAGCCCCACTGATTGCCACCCACGGCCCCGGGGTCCTGCGGCAGCTCAGCCTTGAGAACGGAGGGCGCAAGGATGTGCGTCGTTACGTCTCTCCCGAGGAGGGAGAGCCGGCCGTAGTCAGGGGAACCTCGGCGTCCGTGCGTCCTGACCGGAAGCGCTCAGTCTTGGCTTTTGGCCCTGTCTCGTCAAGGTCCTGTAGCCCAGTCCCCAGTGTCCAAGCTCTCGGGCCTGGTGTCAGCCTTGTCCTTGGTGGTGCAGGAGGCAGGGCGTTCCAAAAGACGGGCCGGCTCCAGCCCGCCACTGGCTGCAGGTAAGAAGCCGGCCAGCCGGCACGTCATCTGGGCTGCTGGCTCCGGGCACGGGCCGGGCAGGCGCGTGCAGGTCTCGGTTCACTGGCTGCATGCGTGCGCGTGGGGTGCGTGTCGTCGGAGGATGTGCTCAGCTGGTCTCTCACCCAGTGCCTGTCTTAGTTGAAGACATGTCAGCCCCGCTGGGGACGGCACCCCTAAAATACCGCAGGTAGCGTGCACGTCGGCAAACAGCCGACTCGGGGCGCTCTGACCGAGCCACTCAGGGGTATTTTGCATGCTTGCGTTTGTCACTACTGCTCCTCACCGGTTCACCGTGTTGGTGAGTGGGGGACAGACAAGGGGGGCCTGGGGCTCAGCCTGCTTGGATCCCAGCCAGCGCTGCCACACGACACAGGCAGCCAGCACCTGGCCTTCTCCGCAGCCCCTCACCCAGCCTCAGACTGCCAATCTGTGACATGGCACCAGGCCCCCTTTCCTGGGGAAGGCGGGGGGCCGTGATGGACGTGAGGCTCCAGTGAATAAGGCCTTCCGTTCCTCAGCATCCCACGAGCAAAGTAGAAAACGTGGCCTTCGGATGCCAGGTGCTGGGGCCCCCACCGTGGCTGTTCCCTGGGGAAGCGGGGCAGAGGCCAGAATTGAGATGGCGTCGGTGCCGCTCAGCCATTCATGCTCAGGGTGTGCACGCGCCTCCCCCAGGCTGCGCCCGCACGCCTGCCCGCCTTGTTCCTGGCCCTGAAAAGGCGCTTGTGTGTGCAACGCAGGCGTGTTGTCCTCACACACGTGTGTGCGGAGCACACACATCGGCCTCACACACGATCTTCCCTCACAGCCATGAGGCGCTTAGACGGAGAGGAGGAGAGCTCCGACCAGGACAGCAGGAAGGTAATTGTGGGGCCAGCGGGTCCCTAGCCCGTGCCTCTTCCTCCTCCTCCTCCTCCATCTCTTCCTCTCCTCCTCCTCCTACTACTCTTCCTCCTCCTCCTCCTCCACCTCTTCCTCTTCCTCCACCTCCTCTGTTCTTTGGAGTCCTGCAGGACCAAAGGTGGGACCAAGAAGGGCCCCTGGCTCTGGAGGCACTGCCTGCTGTGGGTCTGAGGTTTGGGGGACAGGACGGGGCAGCAGCCGCGTGGGCTGCGGGGCATGAAGGCTGCTTTGGGAGCGGTGTGGCGATGTTTTCTGGGAAAGGCTGCAGGTGAACATTTCCGGCCTTTCCGGCCGCCCCTGCTCTGACGCCGGCACGCAGCTCTCAGAAGCTGCTAGAGAGCACCAGTGTGACCAACATCCACAGGCGCGGCCAGGCGTGCACAGGCGTGCACAGGCATGCACAGGCGCGGCCAGGCATGCACAGGCGCGGCCAGGCATCCACAGGCATGGCCAGGCGTGCACAGGCGCAGCCAGGCATCCACAGGCGTGGCCAGGCATGCACAGGCGTGGCCAGGCGTGCACAGGCACGGCCAGGCATCCACAGGCGTGCACAGGCGCAGCCAGGCATGCACAGGCGCGGCCTGCAGCTGCTCACGACGGCAGGCTGCGTGGGTGTGGCGTGGGCTGCGTGGGTGTGTGCTCTCCAGCCCAGGCCCCCTCACCAGTCCGTGAGGCAGGGCAGCCGGGTGGGGGGGAAAGGCCTCAGCTGCACCTGCTCCCCCTTCTCCGTGTGGCTCCATTCTAGCCTGCACCCACTCCCCGTGAGCGAGGACAGCCACACCCCCAGCGTCACCCCTGCGCAGGGAGATCTGTGTGAAGAGCTGGAAGTTTTATCTCCCAGAGGGCTAGGCCAGGGCATTGGGAGTAAGGAAGCTGCTAGAAGGAGGGGCACCGCCGCATTCACTCGACATCCCTCCCCTCCGCAGACCGGCTGGCCGCTGCTCAAGGGCGGTGTGGACACCAGGACTAACTCTCCAGACCTGGACAGCCAGTCCCTGTCCCTCAGCAGCGGGCCGGAGCGAGACCCTCCGCACAGGCCACCCGCGGACAGCTTCTACGCACGTGAGTGGTTCTTCTGAGCCGGGGGCCGCCTCCCCGCCGCCTCCCTCCGCAAAGCCCACAGACGTAAGGACCCAGAGAGCAGCGCCCGCCCCTGCCCCACCGCGGGCCTGGCACCAGCCTCGGGATACAGGGAAGCGGACGCCGAGGGGCCCTTGGGCACTGGAGACGAATGGCCCCAAGGGCCCAGGCGTGGGCATGGTCCGGGGGCCGAGGCCAGACCTGGCGCTGGTGACAGGCACTGTCCCCCGAGATCCCCTCCACCAGGCCCTGCTGAGTCCCGGGCACGCCACCGCAGATCCTGGGGACAGCTGGCACCCGTCTTCCCCTGGGGTGTGGAGAGGGACGGCCTAGGCATGCTTTCCCAGCGTGCATTGCAAGCCCTGTCCACCACAAACGGGGATACCTGGAAGCAGCCTTGGGTCTATACCGGGTGGGGTGGTTTCTGGCACAGGACTGGAGGGAGGAGGAGGCAGAGGCCACGGGGGCGGGTGGGAGGTGGGAGGGCTCCTGGCTTCTCGGTGACCTAGGCCCTAGTTTAAGTCCAGGCTCCCTGAGACCACACTGGCAGCCGCGGGCCGCGCCATGTGCACGGCTGCCTCGTGGGTCATTAGGAGACCCCTTCCTGGCCGCCGTAGATGCTCAGTAACCAGGCCGCATCCTCCCTGTGGTGAGCCGCGAGTCTGACCTCTGCAAGGCCCAGGTGCCCGTGGGTGCGTGAGGCGCGGTGTGCCCGGCAGGGCCTGCCGCGGGTTAAAGAACGATTGAAACCAACAAAGGCGTCGTGTTCTCTGTGCCGTCTCCACTCGCGGGTGAATGCCGGCCCTGGGGTCCCGGATGCACGCACGGGGCCGCGTGGGAGCCTGGGAGCAGTCCGGGCCCCGAACCGCGTGGCAGACAGGCCGGGAGGGGTGCTGGTCCGGCCCGCCCGCCTGCGCCTCCGGAGGAGCTCCACACACCCCTCAAGCCCCGGGCGGCGCAGTGCAGTGTGTGGCCAAGGCCCTGTCGCGAGGGCCTTCCTGCCTGGCACGCACGTGTCCCCACGCGTGGAGCGGAGGCTCCAGCACGGCGGTCGGGACACAGCCAGACCTCTGCCTGGGATCCAACAGAGCAGGCAACGATGTCCAGGTGACCTCCCCAGCACCAGCCCTTCCCCGGCCGGACAGGCAGGCCTGACTCGGGGCCCGGGGTTGCCTCTGACCTCCTGAGGGACAGGTCCGGCCCTGTGGTGCCCGTACAGACCTGGGGTCGTGACTCTGCGACCTGCCCCTCTGTTTCTCCTCATGTCCCCCACCGGGCCGTCCAAGCAGGAAGCCCGCCCCTCTGAGATCTGCAGCAGGTCTCTGAAGCCGTCCCTCCCGGGCAGAGGGCGTCGGCAGTGTGGACCCGGCTGAGGCCCACCTCATCCTCCATGAGCCTCGTGAGCAGTCTGGGCGGAAGGGGCACATCCAGCATCCCCCCTCTTGCCCCCATCTGCCAGGCTTTACCCCCGATAGTGTGTGTGCACGCAGCCAGCGTGCCCGCCTGCACCCCGACATCCACCTGGGGGGAGATCGCGCCACCCAACGCCGCCGGGGCCCGCCAGTGCTGGCTGAATTGAGATGCGTGACGCTCAGCAGGTACTTCTGGAGTACCCACTCCAGAGGCTGAGCTGAGTGCCCACGGCCCCCCTCGGGAGCTGGGAGGGGCGGAGGCCGGCGGGAGAAGCTGTGGCCCTTCGGCCTCCTGTCGGTCTGTCATCTGTCCCTCCACCCAGTGTTTACTGAGTAGCGACTACATGCCGGTGGCACAGGCGGAGAGGGAAGCCAGGGGGAGGCCCACGCTGTCTGGAGAAAAGTCTTTCTGCTTGGGGAGTTTTCGTCTCGCAGTCTCGGGGAGGAACCCTGGAGCCCCATGCGGGCCTGGGGGGGGCTCCTGCCCCCTGAGCCACACTCCTGTTCCCTTCCCTGACAGTTGGATTTGGGAGTACAATCTAACTTTACGTGGGTGCCCTCAGACTCAAAACCATCCTCCCTCTGCGGAGGCCTGGCTTCTGCAGGCGCGGGGGCTCCCTGCTTGTGAAGACGGTCTTCCGGGATGAGGCCACCCCGCCCCCCCGGGCAGAGCAGGAGGCGGCCTGGGACCATTGAGTCCGCGGGTCCCACATCCCTGACCGCTGAGGGCAGAGCAGGAGGCGGCCTGGAACCGTTGCGTCCGCGGGTCTCACGTCCCTGACCGCTGAGGGCCCCTCCTCTCTTCTGAGGTCCCCTGCAGGCACACACGCGTACGTGCACACCTGTGTACACACCACATACACCTGTGCCCGCGCGCGCCACATCCACGCCCATCGTGGCTGGAATGTGTCGGCACAGCAAACGCCGCTGGCTAGCGGGAGGACTCGGGTCCCCACAAGACCACAGTGCTTACACGGGAGCAGCAGGGGAGACGTGGCGGGGAGGCCTGGGGAAAAGCTCTGGAGAGCAGAGGGTGCGGCACAGAGGAGCCCCTCGCCCCGCTGACCCTTTCCCCTGCATGTCCCTTCCCCGGGAGGCCCGCACCCACTCCCGCTGCCTGGCCAGGCCCGGGCCGCCGGCTGCCCTCCGTGCCAGCCAGCGAGCGGGCGGGCCGGTCGCGGCCTCCTCCTCTCTGGCTCCCATGGGCTCAAGGCGGGAAGGACTCCCTGACACTTGGGCACAGCCTGCTTCACCACCTGTCCTCTCACGGCTGTGGTCACTGCCCAGGCCCGGCCGTGACCGCAGCCCGTGGGGAACCGGGCAGGTGTCAGGCCTGGGGGCGTGGGGGCCGACTTCCCACACTCTAGCAGCCCAGGAGGTGGGGTGGGTGTACTACCGGGTCACCCAGGAGCATTCCGGGTCTGGGGACAGCTGGGTCAGCAGAGAACACGCCTCCCTTCCTGTGGAGTGGGGAGGGCCGAGGCCTCTGGGGCGTGTGCAGAGCGCCAACGGTGTCTGGGACGGAAGCCAGGGCCCCGAGGACTCTGGGTGGTCTCCGTCCACCTCCACCGGGAGGCACAGAGGAACCCCTGCCCACGGGCAGCCGCAGCAGCGAAGGGATTGGCATGCGGGCAGCACCAGGCGGGCCCAACGGACCAGAGCAGAACTGTGCCAAGTGTTCTGAGAATTAAATCATCCTTGGAACCTCTGCCCGTAACAGCGGGCCCTGTGACCCCCACAGAACGCAGCCACCTGAGGGAAGACTGAAGTCAGGTCTCGTCTTCCGACTTAGGGTCCACTTAGGGGTGCAATAGAAAAATGACTCCTCACAGCAAGAACTCTGAGAGGAACCATCAGGATGAGGAATGACAGTTAACCGACAGCACCAAGGGGAAGCGGGGCGCTGCGTTGCCCCGTGAGGATTGAAGAGCGCTATCGCAAAATAGCTCAGCGAGCAGTTCTGGTTCCGAAAACCTATAAAAAGAAAAAATATGCAAGCCAGGTTCACGCCTGTAATCCTAGCTACTCAGGAGACTGAGATCTGAGGATCACAGTTCAAAGGCAAAAAAGTCTGTGAGACTCTTATCTCCAATTAACCAACTCAGAAAAAGCCAGATGTGGTGCTGTGGCTTGAGGGGTAGAGCGCTAGCCTTGGGCACAAAAAGGCTCAGAGATGGTGCCCAGGCCCTGAGTCAGGCCCCAGGGTCCATTACTAAAGAAGAAGAAGAAAAGAAGAATCAAATGGAAACTATAAAAACGAAACAGGAAGATAACCAAAATGGACAATTCTGCTGGGTGAGTCTGAGAACAGAACAGCTGGTCTGCGTCCTGGCCCGGGGCCAGTCTGCAGCAGAGGAGAGCGGCTGGGCCTAGCGACGCGGACGGCAGAGGAAAAGGCGAGCAGACACTCAGGGACGGATTCTCAGGAGAGGAGAGAGAATGGGCTTGAAAAACAGTCAAAGAAATCATAGCTAACAACGTACTGAGCTTTGCAAAAGACACAAACCTTCAAGTTCAAGAGACTCAGAGAACCTCCACCAGGGTCGACAGCAACAACCACATCTGTGTCAGCACAGGTCGCTATGAAGCGTCTGGGAGCTGGTGGCAGACAAACATAAAAATAATCTTGGAAAGTGGGAATAGAGGCGTCAGGAAAGGAAAACTCCCCCAAGTTGGATGACTGCAGATTTCTCGTCAGAAACTGTGGAGACCAGAGGGAGGGGTCCGCTCTTCCTGTTTCCAGGGCTGAAAGGAACGCTCCCCTGGGTGTGTTCTGCAGGCTATAAAAATATCCTTCAGGGTGACATGGGTCAAGATGCTATTCATAGCTGCACCCCCGTGGCTCACACCTGTAATCCCAGCTACTCAGGAGGCTGAGATCTGAAGTTCAAAGCCAGCCCAGCCAGGAAAGTCTGTGAGACTCTTCTCTCCAATGAACCACCAGAAAACCGGAAGTGGCGCTGTGGCTCAAGTGGTGGAGTGCTCGCCTGGAGCTGAAGAGCTGAAGGGCAGCGCCCAGGCCCAGAGTTCAAGCCTCACGACTGAGGAAAAAGGGAAAAAAAGATGCTACTTATAAGTTATTATCTTGACTGGAAACCCCTTTGTACAAATAGTTAAGGATAATGAATTTCAAAAAAGAAAAGAGGGCAGATGTTCTTCAGGGGGAGGGGGAGGGGGACATGTCCTGGGGCTCTGGAAAGCTGGGTGAAGGTGTTGTCCCGGGCAGCCCTCCGGCCATGGCTGACGGGCTCTCAGTCATGGGAGGAGGTCTGGAGCTTCCGAAGGAAAGGACCTGGCGTGGGTAGTGAGGGAGTGATGCCCTAGACCCTCCTCTTCTTCAGTTTCTGAAATGTGAAGCTTGCAGCGCCCGAGCCGGCCCCGCCGCGGTGGGAACATCCCCAGAGGCACGTGCCGGTGACCTGGGGGTGAAAGCAGTGGTCCCCGGAACGGAGTGCGTGGTCCGGTGCCCTGCGAGGTTGTGTGACTCGGTGGTGGCTCAGGGGGTGCTCTCCACCCCGCTCTGGCTGAGCAGGGCGGGGGGACCGTCTGTGTCTCTGCAAGCTCAGTGGAGAGGATGATGCCTCTGGCCAGCACCCACTTTGAGAACCATTGTCTAGCATCCGGCTTCTCCGTCCAGCCGGGCGGGTCCCCCGGACCCTGGTGTGTCCCTCGCTGCGTGTGTGGGGTGGGAACGGCTCCAGCCTGCCAGTCAGGAGGCCTCGGCCCTGCTGGGCAGCCTCAGGTCAAGGCCTGCCCATCTCTGGGCCTCCATTCCTTTCTGTGCAATGTGAGAAGTAGGCTAAGCTGTGTACCCTCGGAGCGGATCCGCCCAGCAGACCCACCCCTCTCCAGCCGCTGCCCTCCCCTCCTTCCAGAGGGTCACCGCTCACCTACGACTGCAGGTCCCGTCCCCTCCTCTGCCAAGGGAAGTTTGGAGACCCTGGCCTTGATGTTAGAGATCTGCCCTCCCCCCCCCCCCCACCGACCTACCTCCAGAGCCTTCCCACAGGCCACCTGGTGGGACCCCAAGCCGGTCCCCAGCTGAAGATCTCTTTAGACCCTGTGTCCACAGGAAGCAAGCCACTGCGTCCTTCTGCTCCGTGTGGACCCCACACACAAGGGGCCTGGTCCAGCAGCTCTGCTCAGAAGTGAGCTCCCCCTGCCCCCAGACCAGGCACCCCGTGAGCACAGAGGGACAGGACCCACCCTTCCCCGAGTCCCCTGGGGGCTGCCCAGCATCTCCGAGGACACTAGCTCAGCTGGCCTGTGCTGCTGGGTGGGCGGGGCCTGGGGCGGGGCCGGGGGTGGGGCCAGACCAGGCCAAGGCCCTGGTCTAGTGGACACAAGGGCACTTCCTGGAGTAGGGAACCTGCCACATGGGGTGGGAGGACGCCCTGTTGCGTCCCTTCAGGAGATGCCCTCACCTCCTGTGAGCCGCCTCTCCGGCGCCTTGGAAGAGGCCGGCGGGGAGGGCCAAGGGCTCAGGGTCCCACATTCAGGAGGAGCTTGGAGTGTGTCTGACTACAGCCCCGTTGGCTGGTGGTGCTCTTGGCACAGGATGGGGACCCCTTGCTCGCCCCCGGGGACCCTCCAGTCCGGACTCCACCTGGAGAATGAGAAGCTGGCTTGGGTGACATGATGGACCAGCCAGTGGCAGCGTCCTTGGGGCTCTGAGGGGTGGGGGAGGGGAGTTCCCGGACCCGGCTTATTCCCAGCCCATGCCCGGGGGTCACACTGGAGTCAGGGGAGACCCCCGCACACCCCGGCCTGGCGGGGGCGGGCGTGACGGAGCTGTGCTGTGTGTGTTGCAGGCTTCCCCTATTCCAAACCTGACTCTCTCCCAGGACCCGGGAAGGATGGCCTGGACCTCCGGGTAGGTACTCGGCCCTCCCCGCTGCCCTGGCCCTCCCCTCCCCGCAGCCTCCCTCCCCACAGCCAGGCGGAGCGGCGCCCGCCCACCTCTGCGCCCCCCACACACGGAGCCTCCCATACCCGGATGTGATCTGGCCACCTGACTCCTCCCCTCTGCGCCCCCCCAGGCTGACCCCAGGATGGGGGAGAAGGGAGAGGCAGACGGCCACAGCGATGGGCTCCTGGGGTTTCTCCCCTGGGATGCAGGGTCCAGTAAGGCCCAGGAAAGGTTTCTGGGTGCCTGAGCCGGCCACAGCCCCTATCTGAGGCTGGGCGGCTGCGCCGTAGCAAGGTGACTAGGAGTGGCGTCCTGTGGCGTCCTGTGGCGCAGCGCCGGCCCGTGCAGGGCTGGGCTGACCCGTGACCCCGCGGACCTGTGCCCAGGCCCCTGCCCCTGCTCCTGGCTGCCTCGCCCTCCCCCCCTTCCCCTCCTGCCCCGCTCCCACCCTTGTGGCAGCCAGATCTAAACTTCCAGAGCTCGGCCACGCCGCTCCGAGGCCCAGCTTCCCAGGGCACCAGCCCTCCGCCGCCCCGCAGCCTCTTCCCAGTTTTTGTCCCTACAAGCGCAGCCCCGGGCATCTCCCAGGCGTGAGGATGCAGGGCACTTCCGTCTCTCATCGTCCCCGGCCCGGTCAGATCTGCTGTTGGCTGCTGGGGTCCCAGCCCAGGACCCCTCCCACCCCCCCTCAGCATCGCGGCATGGTGGAAAGCCAGTGGACCCCACCCCCTCCCCCCACTCCCTGCGCTTCCCATTCCGGAATGACCCGCGCATGCAGCATGCTCCTGTGCCCGCCAAAGGACCTAGGTCCCCTCTATCTCACGGGAACGCAGGGGACAAGACACTGCCCGGACTCTGCAGCCCCCTCCCCTTGGGGTCAGAGGCCCTGGGGACAGTGGGAACACTTTCTAGAATGTTCTCTTCTTGCCTAGAACGGCTGCTGTCTTGCCCAGGAACTGGTGGTGCGCAGCGTGCACTGTGAGCTCATGTCAGGATCTGGGGTCCGCTCAGTCTCAGGGGGAGGCGGGGGGGGGGGGGGGATGAGGGACGGCGCTCTGCTCATGGCTGGGCACCCGCGGGACAGTCTGTGCTCAGGGCCATGGCGGGGGCTTCCACCGCCTCCTCGTCTGCGGCATCCTGGCGTGAGGAGCCTCTGCCTGGGAGGCCAGGCGTCCTGGCCGGACCCTCTTCAACCCTCAGGACGGCTGCGGGCACACGCTTTGGCTTTATAGGAGAGCCGGGCCTGGGCACAGTCCTGCTGCCAGCCCAGCGGGTGGAGGAGAGCGGGAGCGAGCCGGGTGCCCTTCCCGCCCCAGAGCTGGAGTCCATCCTCCTGGGGAACCAAGGCGCGTGCCCGGCGCTCTGGCTCACCGCCGGGGTCCTGTGGCCACACCCAGCGCAGGTTCCAGGGTTGCTCTTCTCTAAGAACTCCCTTCCAAATTGATTCCTTGTTCCTTTTCTCTGAGAACTTCATGTTCTCAGAGAACATGAACCTGCCTCTGCTCAGTGGTGTGACCTGCATCTTACGGTTCAGCCGAGCCCAGAGCCTGAGCGCTGGACCTTCTCCCCCAGGCCGATGACCTTCTCCTGACCTCCCCCAGGCCGATGACCTTCTCCTGACCTCCCCCAGGCCGATGACCTTCTCCTGACCTTCTCCCCCAGGCCGATGACCTTCTCCTGACCTCCCCCAGGCCGATGACCTTCTCCTGACCTTCTCCCCCAGGCCGATGACCTTCTCCTGACCTCCCCCAGGCCGATGACCTTCTCCTGACCTTCTCCCCCAGGCCGATGACCTTCTCCTGACCTCCCCCAGGCCGATGACCTTCTCCTGACCTTCTCCCCTAGGCCGATGACCTCCTGATCTTCTCCCCTAAGCCGATGACCTTCTCCCCCAGATTGATGACCTTCTCCTGACTTCCCCCAGGCTGATGACCTTCTCCTGACCTTCTCCCCTAAGCTGATGACCTCCTGACCTCCCCTAGGCCAATAACCTTCTCCTGACCTTCTCCATCAAGCCAATGACCTTCTCCTGACCTTCTCCCCTAGGCCAATAACCTCCTGACCTTCTCCCCTAGGCCTATGACCTTCTCCCCCAGGCCGGTGACCTTCTCCTGACCTCCCCTAGGCCAATGACCTCCTGACCTTCTCCCCCAGGCCAATGACCTCCTGACCTCCCCAGGCCAATGACCTTCTCCCCAATGGCCAATGACCTTTTCCTGACCTTATCCCCCATGACCAGATCCATTTATTAGGTGGCTTCTTGATTGTTTCCTCCCCCTCCTCCTCCTCTTCCTCCTCTTCTTTTCCTCTCCTCCTCCTCTTCTTTTCCTCCTCTTCCTCCTCTTCTCTTCTCCTTCTCCTTCCTTCTCCTTCTCCTCCTTCTCCTTCTCCTTCTCCTCGAAGAGATTCTGGAGCCTAATTAAAAGCACAGGTGCAGTCAGTCAGACCCAATCCCGCTGCGGCAGGAGAAGGCTTTCTTCCCTAACCTCGCCCAGCTGTGTGGATCTCCTCATCCACTGGCCGAGTGGGGAGAGGGAAAGCCCATGCTCGAGTTTGTTCCAGGTCCCTGTGATCAGAGCCCCTGTGTCCCAGAGATCGTGATAGTGCCGCCATGGCCGTGTGCTGGCCGGGCGGGCCACAGGAGGCGTGCATTCACCGCCCGCCCCGCACAGGGCAGCTGCCGCCTGCCACAGGAGGCATGCATTCACCGCCCGCCCTGCACAGGGCTGCCGCAGGAGGCAGCGGCGATTCTGACATGCACCCCTGGTCTCTGGCCGCCCACAGATCCTTGGAGCAGCTCCCTGGGAGGTCCATTTTGAAAAACTCTGTTGCTACCTGCGACTCTATTCCAGTGTTAAAAGGCCAAGATCGTCAGGTTAGAAAAGATAGTGCAGACAGAGCCTGTCACTACAAGATGCGTACTGAAAGTAGCTTTCAAACAATTAGAAGTAGAAAAATAACAACGATGCTAAAAATCACAAGGAGAAGGAAGGTAGAAGCCATGTGTGTGCCGATTCAAGTGGAAGGAAATTGAAGTTCAAAGAAAGTAACAGTTGAAGGGAATACAGCAATCACGATAAAGACCCAGTGTCACAAGACAGTTATGGCATTCATCAACTTAAATGCACCCAACAGGAAAATGCCAGTCGCCGTGGAAAAAATACAGCAGTGCAGATGATTTGAATTGGCTCTTTTGCAATAAGACATGGGTCCAATAAAGGAAAAAGAATCACTTAAAAGTACACAGAGTAACTGAACGGTATAAGTCACAAGCTTCATCTCATAGATAGATGGGAAAAATATATCTTTCTAATCCAGTTTTCACGGGTTCATAAAACATTTGCCAGAACGCTTTTGTACGTGATCGCAAACAAAATCTCAAGTTAAAGAAGGCTGACATTCCCAGCTGTATTGCCAGAATGAGCCTGTGAATTAGAAGCAACCTGTGAATTAGAATCCTAGCCCCGAGTTCAACTCCCAGCAATAACTGTGGGCAAGTTGTTTACATTTCTGAGTCTCTGTTTCCTAGAATTAAGGCAAAAAAAATAATGATCCTTATCTGTTAAAGTTATCATGAGGATCAATGACAGCGTGCTCGTGAGATCTTCCCATGTGCTGTGCAATGTGTTTCCTTTGAATCATTACGGAAACCTCAAAGCTCACACACATAGTCCTAGCTACTCGGGAGGACCTCGGCAGTAAGTCTATGAGATCCCATCTCTAAAAACACAAACAAAAACAAACATCAGACTTAGCTCAAGTGGTAGAGCCCCCACCGAGCAAGTGAGCTGAGCAAGTACAAGACCCTGAGTTCAAATCCCAGGACACTAAATAATATCTGCTTCCCCCAGCTGCTGTGGCGTGAGGAGGCTCACTCCAGCGTGGGCCTCGGTACAAACAGGAGGTGGTCCGTGGCCACCATCTCATCCTTTTTGGTGATTCCAGGGCTTAGGATTCAGGACAGGCCTAGGTTTCTTCCTCCTCTGTGTTGCTGTGGCTCTCGAGGCTGACCGGAGGTTGCAGCAGACTACAGGACGGATCCACAGGGCGGTGGGGGCGTAGTGAGTGCCACAAGGGAGAAGGAAGAGCATCTGCTGCCTTGAACCCCCCCCAGCTCCGTTGGAACCTGGGGGCCGGCGGGCTGGGGGTGCCCTGCCTGCTCTGCTCTCCTGCCCACCCCCTGCCCACCCTGAAGTCCCGTCTCACCCGTCTGAAAGGCTGGTTCTAATGTGTGTCCACGGTGGATGGAGGTGATAGACCGACGAGGTGGCCCAGACCTCCTGACAGCCTGCCATGCCCATCCCCGGGCACTAGGGGGCAGCAGTACCCCTTTGCGTCCGTCGGGCCAGGCCGGCTAAGGCTGGTTGGTTGCTTGCTGTTAGCGCCCAGGGGTCTGATGGACAGGTCCTGGGGAGGGGTTGAGGTGAGTGAGCATGGTGCTGATACCTTAAGACGGCAGTGTTGGCAGATGGACGGATGCTGAGGCGCCTTGTGAGTCACGGCCACTTCCCGATACCAGGGGCTTTTTTTTTTGCTGGTCCTGGGGCTTGAACTCAGGGCCTGGGCACTGTCCCTGAGCTCTTGTGTTCATGGCTAGCTTTTATTCTCTACAACTTTAGCCACAGTTCTACTTCTGGCTTTGTTTTTAACTGGTTAATTGCCCGGGCTGGCTTTGAACCACGATCCTCAGATCTCAGCCTCCTGAGTAGCTAGGATGACAGGCAACGGTGCTGAGCCACCTGCCGTGGTCCAGGCTCACCTCAGGCCAGGGGCCCCAGCACCAGACAGGCAGGTTCGGGGGCTGCTGAAGGCGGCCCGGACGGCTGCAGCCCCCGGGGACGGCTCCTGGGGGCCGTGTCGGGGACGGCTCTCCGGGCTGTATGGACACAAAGGCGCCGGGGCCCTGCCGCCCCCTGCCGCCTGCGCCCTGCAACTTGCCTTCGCGCGCGCTCTCTCTCTCTTCCAGAACGCCAACCTGGCCCCTTGTGGAGCAGACCTGGATGCCAGCTGGGGCACGCGAGGTACACAGGGCGGGCACCCCGTGGGTCTCTGGCTGGGCAGGGGTCATAGCCCACGTCCCCCAGGCTCATTCCAAGGCCTGCTGGCGGGCAGGGTCCTTGGGGGTGGCACGGTGCCCTTTGTGCCACTCCTACCACGCCACGCCCCTCTCCTGTGTGGGTGTGGCGGTCTGGACTATTAGATGTCTGTGTCTCTACGGGTCAGAGCGGCAGGCGAAGCCCCCGGGGCTCTCCTGGGCTGATTCACAGCCGATGGCAGCCGCCTGGGGTGGCCGCCGGCATTCCTCACGGGCTGAGTCCCTGGCCTCTGTGTGCACAGACCCCGCACGTGCGCTAAATGAGTCCGTGTCTAATCAAGGCTTCCGGTCTGGAAGGAAAACACTTTGGGGAGCTGGGGTGCGCTGGATGGTTCGCAGGAGGAGGGGAAGGGGACTGTGCTCAGGCCTGTCACCGGCTCCCTGGGAGGCAGAGATCTGGGTGGCAGGTGTCACCGTGGGAGCCAGCCTAGGCAAAAAGAAGTTGTGAGACCCCCATCTCAAACCAGTGGTGGGCAGGGCTGTTCACGCCTGTCACCCGGCCAAGAGGCGCCGTGGCTCGTGCTGTGGTGTGATCGCCGTGGTGTGATCGCCGGCCGTCCCCAGTGACACAGCAGCACAGTTGGAGGACGGCAGTGCAGGCCGGCCAGGGTGTGAAGTGAGACCCCACTTCAAAACTAACCAACGCAAGCGGGGCTGGAGGCGTGGCTCCAGCGGTAGAACACCTGCCCAGTCAGAACAGGGCCCTGTGCGGGTCTCCAGCACACCCAAGAGGCGGGGGGAGGAGGAGCCTGTGGCTGTGGTCAGAGGCCAGTGCAAGTGTCAGACGCCCCCCACCCCCAGAAAGGTCCAGTAGCCACTGTGCAGGTAGGTAAACTGAGGCAACATCCTTCTCAGGGTGTCCCAGACCACCAGAGAGGATATGTGCCCACCAAGGAGCACAGTGCCATCTCCCAGCTCCCCGTCTGGGCTGAAGCCCCCGACCATGCCCCCACGTGCCCACGGGGCCCCCGAGGCAGGCGCGGGGGGCGGGCGGCTCCTGGGGGTGGCTCACCCCCAGCTGGAGCCTGTGCTTCCTAACCACCCGTGCCTCTGCGCTTTCTCTTACAGAGTACAAGGTAAGGGCCTCCCCGGCGTCTGTCCGTCCGTCTCTCCCCGCCGGCCACTGCCCAGGTTCAGAGTTGCCTTGTTTTGCTCTTGGGGGCTCCCTGCCCCGCCCGCTCCGGCCGCTGCGCGGGCGCTGTGACCGCCGCTCCCTCCCGCAGGTCTACCCTTATGACTCCCTCATCGTGACCAACCGAATCCGCGTGAAGCTGCCCAAGGACGTGGACAGGACACGGCTGGAGGTGAGCAGGGCGGGGCTTCGCTCCTGGGGAGGGTCCCGCAGAGGCCTCGCCATGACATCAGCCGCGTGCCTGGGGACAGCGGGGGGGGGGGGTGGACAGCGGGGAGGGGTGGACAGCGGGGAGGAGCTGGGCCCAGGGGAGGGGTGGACAGCGGGGAGGAGCTGGGCCCAGGGGAGGGGTGGACAGCGGGGAGGAGCTGGGCCCAGGGGAGGGGTGGACAGCGGGGAGGGGCTGGGCCCAGGGGAGGGGTGGACAGCAGGGAGGGACGGCCCAGGGGGAGAGGTGGACAGCGGGGAGGGGCTGGGCCCAGGGGAGGGGGTGGACAGCGGGGAGGGGCTGGGCCCAGGGGAGGGGTGGACAGTGGGGAGGGGCTGGGCCCAGGGGAGGGGTGGACAGCGGGGAGGAGCTGGGCCCAGGGGAGGGGTGGACAGCGGGGAGGGGCTGGGCCCAGGGGAGGGGTGGACAGCAGGGAGGGACGGCCCAGGGGGAGAGGTGGACAGCGGGGAGGGGCTGGGCCCAGGGGAGGGGGTGGACAGCGGGGAGGGGCTGGGCCCAGGGGAGGGGTGGACAGCGGGGAGGGGCTGGGCCCAGGGGAGGGGTGGACAGCGGGGAGGGGCTGGGCCCAGGGGAGGGGTGGACAGCGGGGAGGGACGGCCCGGGAGAGAGGTGGACAGCGGGGAGGGGCTGGGCCCAGGGGAGGGGGTGGACAGCGGGGAGGGGCTGGGCCCAGGGGAGGGGGGTGGACAGCGGGGAGGGGCTGGGCCCAGGGGAAGGGGTAGACAGCGGAGGGACTGGGTCCAGGGGAGGGGGTGGACAGCGGGGAGGGGCTGGGCCCAGGGGAGGGGGTGGACAGCGGGGAGGAGCTGGGCCCAGGGGGAGAGGTGGACAGCAGGGAGGGACGGCCCAGGGGAGGGGTGGACAGCGGGGAGGGGCTGGGCCCAGGGGAGGGGTGGACAGCGGGGAGGGGCTGGGCCCAGGGGAAGGGGTGGACAGCGGAGGGACTGGGTCCGGGGAGGGGGTGGACAGCGGGGAGGGGCTGGGCCCAGGGGGAGGGGTCGACAGCGGGGGGGGACGGCCTGGGGGAGAGGTGGACAGCGGGGAGGGACGGCCCAGGGGAGAGGTGGACAGCGGGGAGGGACGGCCCAGGGGGAGAGATGGACAGCGGGGAGGGGCTGGGTCCAGGGGAGGGGTGGACAGCGGGGAGGGGCTGGGCCCAGGGGAAGGGGTGGACAGCGGAGGGACTGGGTCCAGGGGAGGGGTGGACAGCGGGGAGGGGCTGGGCCCAGGGGAAGGGGTGGACAGCAGGGAGGGGCTGGGCCCAGGGGAAGGGGTGGACAGCAGGGAGGGGCTGGGCCCAGGGGAGAGGTGGACAGCGGGGAGGGACGGCCCAAGGGGAGAGGTGGACAGCGGGGGGGGAAGGGGTGGACAGCGGGGAGGGGCTAGGCCCAGGGGAGGGGTGGACAGTGGGGAGGGACTGGGCCCAGGGGAAGGGGTGGACAGCGGGGAAGGACTGGGCCCAGGGGGAGAGGTCGACAGCGTGGAGGGACTGGGCCCAGGGGGAGAGGTGGACAGTGGGGAGGGGCTGAGCCCAGGGGAGGGGTGGACAGCGGGGAGGGGCTGGGCCCAGGGGAGGGGTGGACAGCAGAGGGACTGGGTCCAGGGGGGAGGCTCGGGAATGTGGTTATGGCCCAGCCCCCATGGGTTTTGGAGGAAGGAGCAGGAAGGGCGGCGAGGCTGTGGCCATGCTGCCCCTGCGGGTGTGGGCCGTGGTCATGGGAGGAGGGCTGGCTCAGTCAGCATGGCAGTGTTAGTGAACATTGGTTGGCTGGAAGAAGAAACTTTGCTGAGCACCTACTATGCACCAGGACTGACATGCGAGGACTCGGTGAATGGCCCAGGCCCTGTCCGGCCTCTGGCCGGGACGCGGAGCCTCAGGAGGCCAGGAGTCCGTGCAGTGTCAGGGGAGGGGTGTGGGATGGATGGACACCGGGCCGGGCTCTGCTCTGTACTCGGGAGGGCGACGGGGTGGAGACTGAGCGGATCCACAGGCTCGGCCTCTGCGGCGGGGCGGATGGCCGCAGGGGATGGGAGACCCGTGCTGGGGGCACCCAGGCTGGTCCTGAGGATGCAGCGGTCGGGGCCCTTCACAGCAGAGGCCTGTGCGCGCCTCTGGGGCCGGTGAGTGTAGTCTGCCTGCAGGGAGCGCCCTGGCTCTGCACCAGCCTCTGTCCTTAGCCTTCATGTCTGCACCGTGAAGAGGCAGACACTGAGAGTCACCGAGTGAGCGACTGGGGCAGCAGAGACGGCCTTCACCCGGCCTCAGCAGGGGGCTGACCCTGGCCAGGTGACAAGGACACTGCGCCGGAGGGAGGCGCACCCGCCTGGCTTTGCTGTAACTCCTAGGTGTCAGGTGCGAGGGACTTCACAACGGGGATCTGCGGCCTCAGGCATGGCTTGATCCAGGGCTGGCGGTGTCTCCCATCTCCTGACTGTGCTTTCTGTGCTGGCTCATGCGTAGATCTTCTCGAGGGGGGCTCGTTTCCAAGGCCAGCCTCCTGAGACGGGGAGAGGGCGCCAGGCATCGGGATGGGGCGGGGCCGGGCAAGGGTGGCTGTGGGCGCTGTTCGTGCATCCTTCAAGTCGTGGAGCAGCGTCCAAGTCCCGGGGTGCACCCCATCTCTTCACGGTTAATCGGCTTCACCCAAAACCAGATGTTTGTCCATGTTTTTGTTGGGGGGGGGCTTGAACTCAGGAACTGGGCGCTGTCCCTGCGCTCTTCAGCTCAAGGCGAGTGCTTGAGTAGGTAATTGGAGGTGAGCGTCTTTTCTTCCTAAGCTGGCTTCAATCCAGGAGTCTCAAGTCTCAGCCTCCTGAGTAGCTGGGGTGGCAGGCGGGACCACCGGTGCCCATGCCTACCTAATGCCTAGCGTCTGACAGACACGGCCCCAGGCCTGCGCCCCGATGCGCCTGATTTGAGCGCCCTGCAATCCAGGCAGGGAGTTCTGGAGGCTGAGCTGGTGTCTCCCAGGAGGCTCCTGGAGGGCTGGAGGCTGTGGGGAGGCCCTCAGGGGCCATGGCTCCGGGGCAGGAGGTCTGGGCAGAGCCGGGCTGCACAGGCATGCTGTGGATTTCTGGGGTGGGAGGTCACGGGCACGCCGGGGTTTGCTGGGCCAGCGTGGGCCTGAGTGCCTGGCCAGCGGCACGTGCATGGGGAAAGCCTTTGTCCCCGCAGCCCCACAGACGGGGCCCCAAAAACGGCCCCCCAGGCCTCCCTGGGTCCTGCCAGGGGCTAGCAGCCACAGGGCCTCCCCAGCCCAGGTGAGGGCGATAGCAGGGCCTCCTGGAGGTCCGAGACCCAAGTCCAGGCCGCGGACACAGTGGACGAGGCGGGTGCAGGGACCTGGGGAGGAGGGTGACGGCATCCCTGAACGGGCACGGCCACCGCGCACACGATGCCACTGACGTCCCGGCTGCTGCCCGCAGCCAAGTGTGGGCTTCACCCTCACCCCCCTTCCCTAGCTTATGGGAGCTCCCCGCCTCCAGCCTGGCGTGTTCCCCATTAACCACACCGTCACAGGTCGCACGTGGCTAGCCCGCTGGTGACCGGCTCCCCCCTCCCCCTCCCCCTCAGCACCCACCCCATCCCCCACCCCCACTGACCCCCCCCCCGTCCTCAGACCCCCCCCCCCCCGTCCTCCCCTCACCAGCCGGGAGCACCAGCTCTCGGGAGCACACCTCAGTCTCTGGCCTTTCCTTGTTACACACTCCTCCTTGCCCCGTCGGGGCCCCGAATTCGAGCATCCTGGGTGTCGGGCGGGCCTGTGCATCGCAGGCTGTGTGGTTGTGGGTTGGAGAGCTGTTCACACCTTGCCGTCTTCTCGCTCACTGGGGATGGGCCAGCGGATGGGCGCTGGGGGCGGGGCAGCGGATGGGCGCTGGGGACGGCGCAGTGGATGGGCGCTGGGGACGGCGCAGCGGATGGGCGCTGGGGACGGCGCAGCGGATGGGCGCTGGGGACGGGCTGCGGATGGGCGCTGGGGACGGCGCAGCGGATGGGCGCTGGGGACGGCGCAGCGGATGGGCGCTGGGGACGGGGCAGCGGATGGGCGCTGGGGGCGGCGCAGCGGATGGGCGCTGGGGGCAGGGCAGCGGATGGGCGCTGGGGGCGGCGCAGCGGATGGGCGCTGGGGGCGGGGCAGCGGATGGGCGCTGGGGGCGGGGCAGCGGATGGGCGCTGGGGGCGGGGCAGCGGATGGGCGCTGGGGGCGGGGCAGCGGATGGGCGCTGGGGCTCTGGTGTGAGCCCGGCCGTGGTCTCCAGTGACACCCTCAGCATCTGATGTGTCCTGGCTCACTGGCTGTCAGGAGCGCCGCTCTAACGCCAGCCGGCGGTCGGCCAGGCCTCGTCCTGGGGGCTTGCTGGCTGTGTTGGGGTGTGCTCACTGCGCCGTGTGAATCCGTGCTTCTGTGACCACTGCGTGCCTGGGTACGGGTGTTGTTCACACGCCTGCATGTGTGCTTGTGTGTGGCAAGTGACACCACGTGTGTGCACACACGTATGTGCACAGGTGTGAACACTGATCCCGTGTGTGCACTGTACACACGTTATGTGTATATTTGTGTGTGCGTTACGTGCACGTATGACCCACAGAGGAGCGCACACGTGTGCTTTGCTGTCTGTTGTGCGTGCTTCTGTTCGTGTGTGTGTATGAGTGTGCACGCCTGTGCTTGTGTGTGTGCCTTGGGCATGTGTGTGTGCTGGGGAACTTGGCTCCCGCCCTGCACGCCACGCAGATTCCGGGACTTTGGTGAACAGAGCGCGTCTCGGACGCAGCCGATGGCGTGGGCCACCGCTCCCGCTCCAGCCTGGCGCGGCTCTGCTTCAAGGCTGAGGATGCGCACGGCGCCATCTGGGGCGAGAACCGTTCACCGTGGTGAAGGTCGCGGCTCACCAGTGCTCACTCAGTGTTTTGTGCCCACCACCAATAACCAGTTCCAAAACACTTTCAGCAGCACAAAAGGAACCACACCTGCCCCTCGCCGGCCCCCGTTCCCCGCCCGCCGGCCCCACCGCGGCGGCCTGGGAAGACTCGGACTCTTGGGCCCGGCTGGCTGCCGCCACTGGGTCTCCGGCCAGCTGGGCAGCGGGGCTGTGCGGGGCAGTACACACTCTGGAAAGCCCCGGAATCTTGGGGCGGCTCGTGGGGGAGGGCGTGAGTGGGCGGGAGCAGTGAGGGCTTTCTGGGAGCCGTGGAGAGGGCTGCCAGCCGAGGTTGGGGGCCGAGCCCCCGGTGCCGGCTCAGCCCAGCCAGGCCGGCCGCGCTTGCTGCCTGGTGCAGAGGCAGGCAGGCGGGGCCCGGGGTGAACGCGGGGCCCGGGGTGAATGCGGGGCCCGGGGCTCTGGCGTCCAGGATGGGGGGGGGGGGGGGGGATGTGTGCGGGGACCTGGCTGGGGCCTCTCTGTCTTGGGGCCTCACAGCCTCCTCTGTGGGAACACGGGGTAGCAGGGCACCGTGCCGCCGGCCTGGTGCCCACAGCCAGCAGCTGTGACAGGAGAGGTGACAATGCAGCCACCTGAGGCGGCTCACAGTCCCAGACACGGTGTGTGGGGGGCTGCTGCAGGCCCACGGGGAAGGCCAGGCTGGGTGGAGCGGAGGACCCCGCTGTGCGCTGTGCCTGGGGGGAGCCCCAGCCGAGCCCCAGCCTCTGAGCTCCGCTCCTGTGGGGCCGAGGCCGCCAGGGGGCCGGGCACAGGGAGGGCGCGCCCACCGCGGCGGCCGAGGCCGGCCGGGCTGCTCACCCCCCCACCCCCCTTCTCCTTGCTTGAAGAGACACCTGTCCGCCGACGAGTTCCAGCAGGTGTTCGGCATGAGCGTGGAGGAGTTCGACCGCCTGGCCCTGTGGAAGCGGAACGACCTCAAGAAAAAGGCCTTGCTCTTCTGACGGCGCCAGCCAGCGCCTGGCCCCGGTGTCATGAAGGCCCCCGAGCCTCGGCCTGGCCAGCGGGGGCCGGCGGCGGGACGGCCCTGGGGACATGGGGGGCAGGGGGAGGGCCCCGCACTGCCTGTAGTTTAGGGCCAGGGGGCCAGCTTGACCCACACACCCCCTCCTCGGCTCGGCCGGGTCATCCCGGAGCCCCTTCCCGGCCCCTGCAGTGCCCCGGCCCCGCGTGAGGCTCTGGGTCCAGCCATGGCTGGGGCCTGCCAGCCACAGACGCCGCCCCGCGCAGCCGGAGCGCAGTGCGGTGCCAAGCAGCGGCGGTCACTGTTCCAGCCGTCTGTGACGGTCTCCTCTATTGGGGGGGGGGGCTGAACGTCAACCAGACAGGGTGCCGCAGCCCGTGCCCGCGTGTGACCCCCCTTCCCAATCACCCCCTAGACACCTAAGTGACGGCTGTCAACAGCACAGAGGTTTTTATTTTACTAAGCAGTCTAGCTTCCTCACGCCCGCCACAGCCCATGTGCAGCGTTTAGCTCTGGGCGCGTCCCGCACGGGAGCGACCCCGCCTTACCTCCCCCACGCGTGTGCGTGTGCGTGTGCGTGCGCGTGTGCGTGTACGTGCGCGTGTGCGCATGCGTGCGTGCGCATGTGCGCGTGCGTGCGCGTGCGCGTGTGCGTGCGCGTGTGCGTGCGCGTGTGCGTGCGCGTGTGCGTGCGCGTGTGCGTGCGCGTGTGCGTGCGCGTGCGCAGCGTCTGCCCCGCGGCCTGGGGCTCCCCACCCCCTTCACCTCCCTTCCTTCCTCTGTGTCACAAGGGACGGCCTGGAAGGAGTCCCCAGCTAGTGCCGTGGGCAAACACGCGTGCCGCGTGGCCTCTACCGGCTCCTGCGCTGGTACTTTCTAAGTCTGGAGAGAAAACCTGCCCCAGTGGCCGAGGTCCTGGAATAAAGGGAGCCCGCGGGGTCCGGCTCCCTGCTCCTGTGTGCCCCACGGGGGGGGGGGGGGCGCCCACCACACGGGTGGAGCAGGGCGGAGACGCCACTGCTCCCCGTCTCTGCCTCCAGAGAAGGTGGGGTCCCCGACACGGAGCAGGAGGCCGCCCCCCCGCGTTCCGCGCCCCGCTCGCACAGGCTTCGGTCGTGGGGAGTGGGGGAGGCGCGTGCCTGCCAGGATGCCGACGCACCGCCGGGCCTGCACCCCAAGCCGGCTCCCCGACCCCCCGTGAGCCCCGTCTGTCCCCGCGCGAGTCACGCCTGCGCGTCTCCTCAACCGCTGCACACCGAACCCCCACTCGGCACTCGCTGCTCGCCAGCCCGGCTGGGCCCTGGAGGGGGGAGTTGGCACCAAATCTGCTTCCTGCCATTTAGTGACCGGAACCCCCTTTCCCCATGTGCACTGTGTCCTGTCTGACCACAAAGAACCCCGAGAAAATAAAAAGTGACACGCCGTGGCCGTGGAAGGACGGCACTCTTCCGTGTGTGTGGGGGGTGTCTCTGGAATCTGGGGAAGCTCCGGGGAGGGGTGCGCGGGGCAGGGCCTCCGGAGATGGGCCCCCCACTCCCAGAGGCTGCGGTCGGGTCGGATGGAGCCCCGGCTGGCGCGGCGGCGGCCGTACCCCCTTCCCTGACACCCCGCCCCGCAGCCCCCTGGGCTGCGGGAGCTTCGGCGGCGTCTCGGCAGCGGAGGGGAGGTCTGGCCCGCGGGACTGGGGCTTCCGTCTCAGGCCACGCGTGGCTTCGTGGCCAGGCGGCTCCCAGGGCAGAGGCTCCACACTTACCGGGCGCTGACCGCATGGGACCAGGCCGCCCTGCAGAGAGGCTCCTGGGACGCCTGGCTCCGGGCCAGGCCCGTGGGAGGACCGGCCTGGCCAGGGGCAGGGAGGGGTGTAAGGCCAGGCCAGGCCCAGAAGCTCTGAATCTGCCTCCCCAGGTTCCAGGCCCCGCTGTGTAGAGAGCCCCCACTGCTTCCTCTGTCTTCACAGTCAACCTGTGGCCCCACCAAGAATTGTGTGGGGTCCCCCCCCCCCCCGCACTGTGCAGATACCATCGGTGCTCCAGAGGCAGCCCAGCCCAGAGACCAGCCTCGCGGGACGGGGCGGAAGTTCCCAGCCCCTGCCCGCACCCGGCTTCCCTGCCAGGCCTGGGGCCCCCCAGCTGCCGACCGCCAGCTACAAACTGGAGGTCCCAGCCCCGCCCTTGGGTTGATGAATTTTCCAGGGACACGCCTGTGTTTCCTGGCGGATCTCAAAGGACCCGGATGAGGAGAGGAGCAGCGGAGAGGGTGGGGGAGGGGAGCGGGGGAGGGGGGAGGGGCCGGCTCTCCTGAAGCCCCCAGCCCGTCCTCCTGGCCTTCCACTCTTGGTCACGTCCCCCACTGCGGGGAGAGCCCCAACCCTGCCTCGGCTTTCCTACGACCGGCCTGCAGCCCGCTACCGGCTTCCGGCCATCTGTCTGTCCATTTGCCTACAAAACAAATCACGCAGCTGATTCCGAGGGTGTCGGGAATGTACATGCCAGGAAGCGGACGAGACCAAATGTATATTTCACAACAGCCCACCGCCCACCCCCGGCCACGGCCAAGCGCGGCGCTGTCTTCCCGGTCGGCTGCCTGTCCTGAGTCAGCAGCCCCTGGAGCCTGTGTGGGAAACCCTGGGAGAGAGGGGGAGGGTCTCCTTCCCACCCCTCTCTCCCCTCCCCCCTTCCCCCTCCCCCGACAGCTGCTTAACTTGGAACCAGCTTCAGAACCTACTGGTCCAGAGAGCACGGGAAGCCCACGGCAGGTCTTGTCTTCGCCTCAGAAATGACGCTAGTCCCAGGCACTAGAGAGGTGTAAGTGGGAGCACTACGGCGTGAGTCTACCCCAGGCAAACCCGCAGGACCCTGCCTCAAAAGTAACTAGACCAGGGTGGGCACCAGTGTCCAAGCCTGGGATCCCAGCCACGCAGGAAACAGAGATCCGGAGGGTCAAGCTGTCAAACCTGCTCAAGAGAGAAAACTTGAGATCCGATCTCCAATGACCCGACAAAAAGCAAGAGTAGAGGCACGGCTCAAGTGGTCGAATGCTGGCTGTGAGAAAGAAAGCTAAGGAAGAGCATAAGGCCCTGAGATCAAATCCCAGCAAAAAGAAAAAGAAACCCCACCCAAACCCAAGGCGACGAGGGCTGGAGGTAGGACTCAGCCGTGAACACTGCCCAGCCAGGGCAAGGTCGCGAGTTCAAACTCCAGGGCTACCCCGAAACAGTGACCCGGACCTCCGGAACTGGCCACGTGTCTCCTTCCAGAGGCTGAAGGGCGGAGGAAGCCTGGGCTCTGTGACCCGGAAGAGTCAGGAGAGCTGGCTGACCCTGTGCCCCAGGCCCCACCCCAGCGCCTGGGGGGCTCCTCCCAGAATCTGCTGGGCCCCGGTAGCCCCCACTACCACCTAACCAGGGGCAGACCCCTCGGCCCTCCAGGCAGACCTGCCCCTGGCCGGGGCCAGCCCCCCCGAGGACGCCCAGCCTCTGGGGAGAGGACTCGGGTGGCCGGCGGAGGCCGCCTGCCCGGGGAGATAAGTCGCTGGTTGGTTGTCACGGGAAGCCACTGCAGGGCAGGCCTCCCTCAGAAGCCTGGAGACCCCGCTCCTCACAGGGGTGAGGAAGATCGGGGCTCTGGGCAGAAGCCCTGCACCAGCGGGCGGAAGGGGGGGGCGGGCCGGACAGAGCTGGAGCTGGACAGACTGAGCCACCGGCCAGCAGGCTTCCTCAGCGGTCCCCCGGGCCCCCCACCCCCACCCTCGCAGGGGAGACCAAGGCATGAGGAGCACCTCCTCACCCCCTCCCTGCAAGCTGCTCACGAGGGTCGCACTGCCCTGGGCAAGCCCCAGGTGACCGACTTCCGGCCCCAGCACCAGTGCCCCCCCCCCCCCCCAGCCAGCACTTGCTGGCTGTCTGAAGCAGAGACTGAGTTTGGCCTAGAGGAGACCTGGGGGGCCAGTTCCCTGAGAGGTCCAGGCCCTTCCCAGCTGTCCCTCGGGCCTCTTTCTTACCACCTCCCACTTGGGCTCAAGTTTTTCCAGCTGCTTCTCACATCCTTCCCCACACTGTATCCTTTGCAAAGGCTTTCTCCTACTGGGACTGCCCCGTCCGGCAAACTCCTATTCATCCTTCAATACCCAGCAAAGACACCCTCTTCTCTGAAGACTTTTCACAAAGCAGCTCTTCCTTCCCCAACTGTTGCACCCAAATAGCTCAGTTCATCATCTGGCAAATAGGAGACAAATAGGAGACGCTCCCTGATCTCAAGGGCCGACCCCAAACCTGTGGAGCAGCCAGTGAGACACTCTGCAACCCAGAGAAGCAAACACTGGTGTGGTGAGGGGCACGGCGGGCAGAGCCCAGCAGGGCTGCGAGGCTCCCTCCCTCCACCCCCGCTCCCCCCCACCCCCAGCCCCCAAGCGCTTCCCCTGGAGCCCAGTCCAGCGAGGTGAGCGAGGTCAGCCAGGCAAGGGCGGCACCTTCCAGGCAAAGGAAGCAGCAGGGCTGACGAGGACCCGAGGCTGTGGAGGGCATCCAGGGGCCGGAGGAGGGCGGCGGGGCGGGAGGCAGACCCTTCCCATGAGGCCCGGCCTGCGTCTGGGGGAAGTCCTCCCTGTCAGCTGGCTCGTTCTGCCCCCTGCTGCTGGCCCCCTGCTTTTGCGCTCCCCGGTCATCGGAGCTGCTTTGGCAGATGCCTGTGTCTAGGGCGTGGCAGGCTGGAGAGCATGGGTCAGGGCTGCTTCGGTTATGAGGCCCCCCCACTTTGTGTGTGGGGCTCAGGTCTGAGGGGCTCCCTGCCAAGAGGTGGCAGAATGGCCCACAATGCCCAGCAGTGACCCCAGACCCACCCCTGCAGTGCCACTACTAGGAGGTCACCTCCACTCCAGGCCACTGTGCTCAAAGCCTGGCATCGGGGTCTTCTCTGGCCTCAGACACCTACGTGTCGGCCAGCCTCGCGTGCCCAGAGGACAAACACTCATTCACAGAGAGGATGCAGGACCTGCGTGGCCCCCAAGGTGCAGGGGTCCCTTTCACTATGTCTAGGGCGTGGCTTTGTGTCACCTGGCTTTGTTCCTAGCTGTGTGGGACTCCAGGCCAGTCCTTGATCTGCACCAGGACGGCCCAGGGGCTCCCTCCGGTGGGCACGCCCCACACCAAGGCCCTGGCCCTGCTGACTGAGCACGCCAGCGCTAACTCCCAGCCCCCACCCCAGACAAACTTTTAAAAAAGTGTGTAAGAATATGTATTCAGTTAGCCGTCTGCAGACCACAGCCGAGAGGCTGGTGCTGCTTGGGCCCTCCCCCTCACCATGGCTTCCTATCATTCAGGGCGTGGTCAGGGGCTCTGGGTCTTTGGGGCTGGAGAATGTTCCTGAGGACCTGCATCCATGGGAGTACAAGCAGCCTCAGCACACGCACATGCACTGTCAGCTCCGCGTCCTCATCTCCACCAGGACTGGGCTGGCAGTTAAGCCCGGGCCCTGGTGGCACTGATGGTCTGTGTGGGTCATAAGAAGATCTCCATGCTACCCGGGCAAGGTGTACAAGTGAGACACTGTCTCAAAACTAA